TCTACAACTCGAGAGAGGTAGTCGCCTGAGTGAGACATGTGACAAAGCCGATTTCTTTCGCCCCACTTCTCCACTTAAAACTCTGAACTTCGTTATTTTTTTCTTTTCTTTAGTGTGTGAACAAGTAATATTGTGAGTTATTCTTTCTTTTAATCGTGATGTTGAATATTGTTATGTGTAATAACCTCGCCTTGAGCAAGAATGTACGTGTGTTTGTGTGTTTACTTCTTATATTTGAAGCTCAAAATATCCTACCCCAAAACTTGTCCAACTTTCACTTGGCAATTGTTCGGTAACTTCTTCACCCTACCATTTTCTCCATTGAGGACAATGTCGTGCTTAAGCGGCGGCGGGGGGGGGGGGGAGGGGGGGTATCAATTGTGATTGACATGTGATTTGTGTGTGAATGCTAGATCAAAGTGGCTGATTTGTGGGAGAATCTCGTGTTTATTGACATTGATCTTGAATTGATTGCTTGTAATTGAGTGCATCATGTTATGATGATTGAGAATTTCTTTAGGTTGGTGCAAATGTTTAGTTCTCGTGTGTGTGCAAATGAATGGATTTCTTGACTTGATTACAATTGCCATGCATTAAAATTTGTGAAATTGGAATAGATGATTGGGTGATTAGGTAGCCATGTGAGATGTGTGTCGATTGTCTTTTTCATATGCGATAGATCCCTCTTATTATCATGGCGAGTAACATTCACGTTGTCACTAGTGAGTATGATGGAGGAATATGATTAGTCCACGCCCAAAAGTTGATTGTCCCAAAACATCTTATCCCCTAGTCAACCCCTTTGAGTCGTGTGACTTTGGGCCGTTCTCATGTTAGGAGCTTGTGCTTTTTGAGCTTAATGGTGATTGATAGAACGACCCTTTCCTTTCTTCGTGTCTAAACCGTTGTGAGTCATCCTTGTGTCACTGAGCTCTCGCTTTTGAGCTCCATTGACGTTCTACATAAGTGGATTTTGCACGGTTCCTGCTAGGAATGAAAAGATAGTGTGGGAGGAAGTTCTTAATAGAGAGCATTGTTCGTTAAGTGTTAAAGTGACATGTGTTTACTCTCTAATACCCCTCGAAAAAATGAAAAGAAAAGAAAAATAAAAAGGAAAGTAGAAAAAAGAATCGAAAAAGAGGTAATAAACAGGGTAAATAAAAGATAGAGATTTGCCAAAAAAGATGATGTTTATGCTCTATAAAGGATTTCTTGGCACTGAAGCCATTGAAATGCCTAATTCCTTGTTAACCTCCTTCACTACTATGATTGAAATTTGGATAGCAGGATTAGACGATAAAGTGTGCTTGAATGTAGTTCGTGGTTGGCAGTGATGTGGAAGAAGGGAAGTGTGGTTTTTGATCGATGCTAGTGGCCGTTGATTGTAGGAAAGGTTCTAGTCAAGACCATAGAACCTTTGATTTTAGGGTGAAGATGTAGAACCTCATGCTTTGCTTGTCACCACCCAAAAGGCCTTTTCCCCATGTCCAAGACCCTTGCCAGTCATTTGAACTCGTGTCTAAGACCTCCGGACAAGCTAGTGATGACAACCATCTTGTGAACTCTAACATTTAGAGGTTGCTGCCATGGTGAAGAGAGGATAGAGTTGAGTGTTGATGATTGTGCGCATCTTTTGCACCAAATGGTCTTGGCCCCACTGGTCGAGAGTGAGTTATTCATTTACATTTGTCATGTTCATATCTTATCCCGATGAGGACCTATTTCACCCTTTCGTTTGTTCCTTGGACTTGAACTCTATGCATGATTAGTTGTGGTTGGTGGGTAGTCCTGTCGAGACTTGTATTGATTTGTGAATAGGGTGAGAACTTTTCTTTTACACGTTCTTAATGCATTCAAATGTCGTTTTTTATGGATGCCGGTATTGCTTGTAACAGTTCTTGTGTTAATGCCGAATAGCCATTGAGATTCACACGCTTTGAGACTTTTGATATGTCCCCAAGTTATCTTGTAAGGTTGAGATATTACCTTGTTTAAAATTGGTTTGCTTGGGGACCAGCAAACGTCTAAGTATGGGGGAGTGATTCGGGTCTAATTGTACACATTTTACCCCCGTTTTCCTTAGTATGTTTCAGATCCTAGCAGGTAAAATCAACCCATGGAACAAAAGTTGGACGAAAAGGGACGAAAACCAGTCAAAATGGAGCAAACAACAGCAGTTCATGGTGGAGGCTAGAAGTCACGGTCAGCCAGACCGTGAAGCAAAGGTGCGGGTCGTGAAGCGCGAGGAGTCCAGGAGGGTTTTGTCCATCTCGCGGGCATTCAGCATTTCACGGCCAGTCAATCGTAATAATCAACTCCAGGCCGCGAAGAGCCTTAATGAAACGACAGGCTTTTGCAGAACATCACAGTCTATGCTAATAGTTCACGGCCATGAACTAGGACCGTGAAACGTCGTCGATATGGGTATAAAAGGAGGGTTGAGTTTAAAGAGAAGTGGAGGAGAACCTAGTGTGAGAAACTTCTTCTTCTTCTTCTTTAGATTTCTAGGGTGAGAAAGTGACGAACAAGAGAAGAGGAGAAGTTAGGCTTTCATCCAAACTCCGGATTTGGGATTATCATCCTCAAAGGTTGATCTCCACACCAAAGAAAGAAGGAAACCCTCTCATGATGGTCTCTTCTCTTCTCCTTTGTGTAATCGCACTTCTTAACATGCAGTAATCTTTTCTTTCACTTGAGTGTTTGTAAACCCTAGCTAGAATTATGTGAATACTTGTATGGATTGAATGATTGGTTTGTGGTTGTGTTTTAATACAAGTTTTGAGGTATTTTCATGAAGGTTGTGTTGTGTTTTTGCATTTCCAACTCTTATGCCAATTTGAACTAGGTAGAAGGAAATCCTCTTCTTTCTAGGAGGCTTGTAAAAGTTGGAATTCCTAGGGCAAATTGTGTCACCTACTTAGGTTGAATTAGGGAAAACCTCATAATACGTATCGACACCTTGTGTAGGTTGTATTATGGCCTTCCGAACTACGGTTTGAGGGAGAAGCCCAAGCAACCCTTAGTCGATTGGCCAAGAGAGCAACCTTGGTAGGTTGATTTGAAATCCCTTGGCCTAGTGACCGAGAGAGTGAAGTTTTTTCACTTGTTGCGCTTCCCTACGGTTTACAATCTCTTTTGCCACACATTTGCATTCGATCCGACAAATCATGATTACTAGCTAGGGGGAGCAACACCCGGATGAAGCCTTCTCAGTTAGTGTTCAAAACCGTCTACTTTTCCAATTGTTTCAATTTTAGTTCATAGTTTCAACCAAAACTCGATTGCTAGATATTGTTTCAAACGATTGAAGTAGGGGTACATGGACCGACCCGAGTTTGACTTTTAAAACATATTTGCCCTATATTGCACTGGTTAAGGTTTATACTTGTGCCTTAATCGTGAATTTTATTGTGATATTCGGGACGAGCCACATAGATTGATGGTAACTTAACTACTCACTCTCTCACAAAACTTAATACACATTCTCATTTCTCTCTATAACTTATGCATCGAGAGTGGCCTGGGCAACCGCACCCGAAACTTTGTTGTAGGATCCAGGAGTGCTCTTTCCTCCATCAGGAACATACGGCTTGCTCATGCCTCATCAACCGCCTAAAACATTCTGAACTCAAACAAGTATCGAGGTGGAGATTGCCGAGTTATTCAGCAAAATCCAGATTGAGGTCTCGCGTGTTGGTGGACTTAGCTTTCAAGCTGCGGGGCGAGAGGTGAATAGAACAAGCATCTAATGGGCCATTACATCATGTAATTGGGAGGAGAAGGAGATCTGGGCTAGCTAGGGGTGAGCATCCAGTTCGGTAAACCTGAATCGAACCGGACCAAACTGAACTCAAACCGAATCGAAACCGAAATAATGATATTCGGTTCGGAATTCAGAAGAGAAATTGGCCTAATTCGGAAACGAGGGTCCTCTCGATCGAACCGATTAACCGAAATATTGTACCTGACCCAATAAACTCCCTAGCCCATTCCCCCAGCAGCCCAACTCGCCTATTTCAAAGCCCAGACCCCCACCAGGACACAACCCTAAGCCCAATCACCTACCAAACTCCCACCCCTATCACTTATCCCACACATATAGCAAACGCCTGGCCGCCCCTCCCGCAACCACCAATCCTCCATCGCCGTTCCAAAAGAAGATCTCATCTCCTGCTCACCCACCGTCCACTGGAGCCGATTCCATTTCCCCTCTTTTCACTCTCTTCTACTTCATGAGGTTGAGATTAAAAACTTAAATCCAAACATCAAAATCACTACCGAAAAACAAACGAGGCTGGAAGAACCCACATGCATGTGGAAAAGAGCTTACCCGTCTCCACACGCCGAGACATCTCGTCGTTCCACCTGCCGCCGCCACGTGTCGGCGTCAACCCACCAAGGGAAATCGAGAAGAACAGGGATGGAAGGAGCAGAGAGTGACCTTGGTGGCGGAAGGAACTCGACCGCGAATGGAAGAGGAAGCACTATCCAGGGGAGCCGTCGACGACCGATGGAGCTAGACCTTTCATGTTGCGGCGGCCGGCGGGAGAGGGGAGAAGGAAAAGAGGAAGTGGGAGAGGTCAGGAGCGTAGATTAGGTTTTTTTTCAGTAGAATGGTTTGGATTTATGGGTGACAGTGTGGAGAAGAATGAAATTCGGGTTCTCCATTACGAATCGAGTTATATTTCGATTCGGCCAGACGGAACCATAATATAAATTTTGGAATCGGTTTGCCCTTTGGCTGAAATCGGGGTACTGGTAATCATCTTTTCGGTTCGGTTTGAGCCGAAGCGAACAAATGCCCACCCCAAAACCAGCAACCCTCCAATTTTTATGGTTCCTTCTAACAAACTGATTGTACCTTACTAACCTTAGTTCACTTAAGTCAATAATGAAGTGATCCAGGTTTATATTAAAAAAAGAAAAAAAGAGAATGTCCAAGAACGGCTACAATACAAGTACCACAACGAATCCAGCCTGCTTCTGCTGTGTTCTTCTCCCTTATGTTTCCTTTTTGCTTTTCTTTTCCGCTTTAGCTTTTTCGTTTCTTCATTGCGAAGACGAGAAAGGAAGAAGAAGTGCGAGGAGAGAAGACGCCCCCTAATATCAAGTCTTACTGTAACTCTAAGATCGAAAGGTGTATAGTAGCAAACAGAAATTATCAAAAGAAGACAGCCGACTCCATCACCCATCTTCATCAGCATCAGGTACACAACCAAAAAAATACAACACCCCTGCCCTCCTTTTCCCTTCCACTCTACCTCTGCCGCTTTCTCTGTTTCTTTTTGGTTTTGTTTTCAGTGAACTGTGAAATCTGCATCTGCTACCCATAAGTCACAAATCACCATCAGCTCATCCATTCCACATTCCCTCCTCCTCTGCTTTCCCCCACCCTGTATTGGTTTTGGTTCTTTTCTAAATCTATCTCTCTCTGCTTTTCACGCAATCCAATTCTCTGCCCTGCAACCCCAATATTCCCAGTTTCCCCCAACACCTAGCTCTTATAATCTGTTACTCCCACTTGTCTTTTTTACCAGACCGCTTCCTTCCATATCTCTCTTTCACTTCACTTCCTTTCCTTTCCCTCCTTGTTCGCTTCTTTCCAAATTGGTCTGGGTCTCCTTGAATCCGCCCAATTCGTTACCTCCCGTTTTGCTTGCACAACCCACATCTCAGAACTGATTAAAGATCTTTTGTGGGGTTTACAATTGATTGTTGCCCCTGAAGTTCGATCTTAAATTCAACCCACTTCTCCTGACCATTCATCTCCAGTAACCACTACAGATCATAACAACCATTTAACAATTTTTTCTTTCTTGGTGAGTTTCAGTAGATAATGGCATCTGAACTCGTTGATTTTGCAACAAGTGATAAACTGGTTGAAGTAGATTGGGCCAAGAACATTGAGATCTGTGAATTAGTTGCTCGGGATCAAAGGTATGCCTTCTTCTCTGATTTTCTTCCATCTTATTTCCTGGGGTTCCACTAACAGGTCCAACAGTCCTTGTTACGTTACCAGTTAAAGTAGCTTGATTCCATTGTTGTAATTCTGATTTACAGGCAGGCTAAGGATGTTGTTAAAGCAATAAAAAAACGCCTGGGGAGTAAGAGTCCTAATTCTCAGTTGTATGCAGTGATGGTAGGTTAATGTGCTCAACTTTGTCTAGGAATCATTTCAGGATGATGTCTGATTCCAACTTCGTTTTGCAACTTATTGGGAATAACTGTCACTTTTCGATAATAACTTACTATAGCATGATCAAGTCAAGGCTCCCTTTGACTGGTGCTGTACTTCACCCGGCTGTTACACCACCTTTTTCCTTGTGTAATTTGGCATAGCAGTTGCTGGAGATGTTAATGAACAATATTGGAGAAGCTGTTCATCACCAGGTGATTGATGCTGCCATTTTGCCAATTCTTGTGAAGATAGTGAAGAAAAAGGTCAAATCTTTAGACCCACTTGCAAATATGTTATCTTTGTTTATTTATCATGTAATTCTTCCTTAATGGGGCGTGTTCTTCTTGCCACAGACAGACTTACCCATCAGAGAGAGGATATTTCTTCTTCTAGATGCTACCCAGACGTCCCTCGGTGGTGCTTCTGGAAAGTTTCCTCAGTATTACTCGGCATATTATGAGTTGGTGGTAAGCAGAGAGTTAGAAACTTGGGGCATACAAATAAATTTCATTACACAATAAAATACTTTTAATTGATTATGATCTCCAGTGGTTGCTGGTTTGGGATACTCCACCTTCATGCCATCTTTTGGAAGAGTATTATTTCTATCAGGGCAGTTGGTGCTGGGACTGAGTCATGTTTTACTCCATTGTTGGATTTTTTTTTTTTTTTTGTTGGAGGTCTGTTTTGGTAATGCAGAAGATACTCAACATCCTGGTTTTGAAGGGGTGAAATTGTAAGATAATGAAAAATTAAATGTGAAGTGTTCCTCGAGTTTAATTTTATAGGTTTTCATAGCAGTTGGAGTTTCCTATTTGGATTTTTGGAACACCTCATCAGTGATAATTTCATCCAGGGATATTATTTCATTTTGGATCAGAAGTCAGTGAGTTGCATCTGGTAAAAAGTTAGAATATGGTGGTCCAACTCTGCCTTAGTGAATGGATCCTTCAAACTGTGGATAGTTAGGGCTAGAAATCATTTAGTTAGGGCTAGATATGATTCATCATTTATGGTTCTTTTCTGCAGTGGGTCATCACAACTTTTATATCCCAAAGCTTAAATTTTTTTTGTTTGTGCATAACATTTTTTCTGCACTCGCTGTCACTTCCATCTCATTTAAGGTCGTTACTTTGTTTTTTCTTTTACTTGATTAGTCTAGCTTTTGGAATAATTTTCTCAGTGGACATGTCAAGAACTATGTTCAACTGCCCCTTTCTTTTTGTTTATGCAAGCAAGAGTTGTGCATTTGAGACATCTCATGAATGTAACTCGTTTTTGGTTCTTTCTCCAGAATGCAGGAGTAAAGTTCCCTGACAGATCTCGTGAAGTACCATCAAGTCATCCTACTCCCCAATCAAATAACAGGGCCGATCATCCCACTTCACAATTGAATAATGGAGCAAGGCATCCTACTCCACAATCAAATAACAAAACTACACTTAATCTGGAACTTGCTACATCTCGGCAGAAAGCAGAGCCCCAAGCCCCTCCAGAGTCTAGGTATGGTTGGCCTTTCTGCAATTAACTATGTTTGCATTACAACTGTTTCAGTGATCCTAGAGGAAGCTAGTTTGTGTTTTGGGTTTAGATATTGGATAGTCCTGTATTTCTGGTCCTAATTGCTCATTATTGACTGGTAGCTTAGTATAATTCCAAGTAAATCAATTGACTAGTTTCACTCTCATCTGAGTGTTGGGGATCTGAATATCTGGATATATTGACTTATCTGTGTTTTGTGGTTTAAGTTTCGATGCATCTGGGCAGGTCGTGCACATGAGACTTCCTTTTTGAAAATTGTTTTTCAGGCATAGGCTTCCCTTAAAAGATGTTTCCTTTTGGTTCTCTTACTCTTCTCTTGAAGTTCATATGCTCTCTTTAATTTTGGTTTAGGAAGCATATATCAAGTGTAAATCTTTTATATTTGGATTGTGAAAGTGAAGGCTACATAGTTGCCTTAATAGTACTATGCTAGGTGCATTCATGCATATAGAGAATTGTCCTTGTGGTATAAAGTTCAGAATGAATAGTGGTGTGACTTGTTTGTCTGTTGGCCAATGCCACTTTCTAAGTTGAATGAATTCATCTGCAGTATTCTTCAGAAGGCTGGTAATGCATTAGAAGTGCTGAGAGAAGTTCTTGATGCTGTTGATTCTCAAAACCCCGAGGTTTGTGCTCTCTGTTTCTCCTACAGACGATTCTATCATCTTCTATTCATTCAGTTTTGAGATGGACATTGCAAGTAACGTATGTCATATGGCTTTTGTCCTACTCGGAAAATCTTTAGGTAGCCTTGTCTCTGTTTGTTTGCTTACTGTTGTTGTTCTTCTAGGGAGCAAAGGATGAGTTCACTCTTGATCTTGTGGAGCAGTGTTCATTCCAAAAGCAGAGAGTAATGCATCTGGTGATGACTTGTCGGTAAGGCTGCTTGATACACTGATATGGCAGATCCTTTTTAGCAACATCTTTAGTTGCTTTCTGCTATAGATATCAGATATGTGTATAGATTAGGGGAACTGGTTAGTCAGTTCTCTTTGGAAAATCATAGATTGTGAACCATCATTGCACTTATCTTGTGATTCCAAATGGTTGATTTCTGTGTTTAGAACAACTTGGAACTAGAACTCTGTAGCTTGGGCCCACTTTTCACAGTGAATTTGATTTTGTGAATGCATTTCCCTAAAGGCCCATCTGCGTAATGCCTATGACAATGGGGGGAGAGGCATACGGATTGCAACTTGGTTGCAGATGGCTTTTAATGTATGTGCCAATTAGGGTTTTGACCTCTGAAATTATGGATGGAACTAGAATTGAGGAATGAAGGAAAGGTATTGGAAGGAAACCTAAATAGTGAGTCTCTCGTGTTCCATGCAGCTAAAGTAAACAATACAATGAAAAATAAGGGAGATATTAGAAGTAAAAAAGAACAACCTATTTGAAGCCTTGATCTTGGCGGTAGTAATTAAGGGAAAGTTGTAGTTCATAGTTAAAAACTTGGGACTTGAAAGAGTCTCCGGGAACTAAATTGAAACCTCTGGAGTTTCCATTTTGTTGATAGGAGATTGGAGTTGGAAAGTGGACACTGTTGTTTTTTGCTTACCCTTCCATTACAAGCGAAGTTCAATCTTGCCTCTGAGTAATTGCCTTTGGAATCGAACTCCGTGTGTGTGCCTTCATATGTGTATGTGCTTGCTGTCCAGGGATGAGAAAGTGGTTTCTAGAGCAATTGCATTGAACGAAGAGCTCCAAAGAGTTCTGACCAGACACGACGATCTTATTGCTGGCAGACTTGTGAATTCAAATAACTCTAGGGTTTCAGATATACCTACTTCAACTGCAAACCGTGTTGATCATGAGCTAGATGAGGAAGAAGAGGAAGTTGAGCAACTCTTCCTAAGGTATGTATGTCTATACAGCGATTGTTTAAGACCAATGACTGATACAGTTCAAACTTGTTAAGTATTCTTGCTGGTATATCATTGTTTTTGGATCAGGAAGTGTTGGGTCTTTCATTTTCGCAGAAAACATTATTGTGTTTGCTAGTAACTAACTAGGCAACAATATCATCAGTATCATAACATCCGAACGCTGGATTCTGTACCCCATACAAGTAGCTTTCTTTATATTCAGTCATTCCACTTGTGAAGTGCATCTTCTAGCTTTCTCTTGCTTAGTTGCCTTTTTTTCACCCAAAATATGATAGGTTACGCAAAGGTAAAGCTTGTGCAAGGCCCGAGGATGATGTTAACACAAAGGAGCAACACCATTTGGGCTTGTTTGCTTCTTCCCTTCCACCCAGTGAAATGCTGAACCGGCCCCTTATACGGCCAGTTCAGTCAGGTCAAGCACAGGATGAGGGTGGCAGAGAGGCTGGTCCAGTTTCTATCCCACCCCCGCCCGCTAAGCATATGGAGAGGGAACGGTTCTTCAAGGAAAATAAAGCCGATGGCTCTGCGGTGTCTGGCCATATGAGAGGTCTGTCATTACACAGTCGCAATGGCAGCAGTTCTCGTAGTGGAAGCATAGATTTTACTGAGTAACTGTGGTGTATCGTGAAATGAAGGAAACGACTCGTTAGTTCTTTCTTGGTTCTGGGTTTTTTTTTTTTTTTTGTCATAGTTATTGGTTCTGGGTTTTGCTGCTATGTGCTTCGTTGACTGGATAGGGTGAGGATTTGGACGGTGTGATGGAAGTGGGGTGTTGCTTTATATATTTTGTGTTTTTGTGATGGCATGGTTGTTATTATTATTATTTTTTTGGTAAGACATGGTTGTTATTTAATTAGAGGGTTTTTAGCTTTATTTATAGCAGCAGGAGTACTTTCTACAAATAAAGGAGGTAAAATGCACCCGACATCACTTAAAGTCTTAAAGTATGATGATTTGGGGAGCCATACTATTTAAGTGAAGATTGTGTATTGGATATCACTTAAAGGGAGCCATAATATTTAAGTGAAGATTGTGTATTGGATATCACTTAACTGTAAGTGGATTTGGATGGTGGATTTGGTACTCAAATTCAATCCATTATGGATTTAAGGAAAATTCATTGTTTGCTTGCATTTCTTTTAGGGATTAAATTTATGGGGTCTACAGATTTGGATTATATAAATCCACATGATTGATATGAGATTTGTAATATGTCATAATTTCATGATGAGATTTTATGCATATGCCCTCATTACTTTTAAAATTCAAGGTTGCCCTTACCTTTATATTATTGTACGTTATAAATAATCAATTAATTAACAACAAAAAACAATATAAATATTTAATTAATGTGCAAATATGAGTTAGATTTTTTATACCATTTCTTGTGTTATAGTTTCATTTGACATTTTCATGGAACGTGTAATCTTTTGTTCCCCGCTTCTAATTTATGTTGCTATATGTTACTTTTGAAAAGGAGGGCAAAGAATCGGTAACTGATATATGTTACGTTAAAAGTTAAATTTATTTTCCGGTTTATTACTATACTTGTGGCAACATTATGCTTATGGGAAGCGTATGGGAAGGGTTGGGTGTTCGGTTTGGAGCAGAATTATGAATGAGGAAACGTTCTAGAAGTATGCATATATTAATCCAGGAGGTGGCGCCTGAGTTTCTTCCTGGGAGGATAAGTGGAATAAGGAGATGATACTTGCTAGAATTTTCCCTCGAGTTGATGCAGCTTCCTCCGAACCAAACGGCTGGGTGGCCAAGTTTATATCCTTTGCTGTCGAGAGAGTGGGATGGGATTTACATATTAATCTTTCTTTACGGGGTGGGGCTAAGAGAGAGAGAGAGAGAGAGAGAGAGAGAGAGAGAGAGAGTTGATTTGATTAACTTTCTTTCACAAATTCCTCTTGGTTGGGTCTCTTCCGGACCTTGCAGGATAATGTGGGATCCTGATCCACGGTTGGGCTTTTCTGTTCGATCTCTTTACAAGTGTTTTGCTTCAGAAAGATTTCTTGGAATTCATGACTTCCCAGTTCAAGTGGTTTGGCGGCATGAAGTTCTTTCTAAAGTTTGCAGCTTCGTCTGGCTCCTTTTCCACAACAGAGTACTCACGCATGATAACTTGCAACGACGGGGATGGAATATTGTTAGTAGATGCTGCCTTTGCGAGAAGAATGTTGAGACTAGTAAGCACATTTTCAGATCATGTGAGTACAGTAGCAAAATTTGGTCATGTTTTGTGCAGAGTTTGGGAATTTTGGGACCATTGTCGGAGAGGATTGATGGACTGATTCAATGTTGGACTCACGAAGAGCTGCCAACTTGGGTGGGATGGTTCCAAAATTTTCTACTTCATGCTTTCATGTGGGAGATTTGGAAAGAAAGAAATGCTAGAATTTTCGAAGGTAGATGCAATGATTGGCGGAGCCTTGTTCAAAAGATTGGCAAAACTCTTCAGCAATGGATCGTTTCGGCAGGATTGATTAATGAAGACAACAGTTCGTGTTGGATTAGTAGCTTGAGAGAGACTTGCCCAAGCATTTCCTGAGGTGGCTGTGATTTTGGTTTTGAGTTGCAGTTTGAATCCTGTGAGAATTTTGGCTCTCCCTTCTCTAGGTTGCCCTTGGTTTTGTCTCTTCTATTCTTGTCTGTGTTTACCTTTTTTTTCTTCTTCTTGTATTGGCTGTAGAATCCGGTCTGTTTACCGGGATGCTGCAGTTTGTTCTCGATTTCTTTGTACTCTGAACCTCCTTCCATCCATACACCTCGAGTGTATTTTCTGTCTAATGATTATTCACCTTCATCAAAAAAATATTATACTTATTAGTATGTACCGTCCTTGTTTTGTGTACATATTATAAACATGACAAACAAATAGAAAAGGATAACATGGTAAGTTTGAACTTTAAGTTCTAAATCCCAAATTCTTAAATCCATGATAAAACATCTCAACAAACAAAGGATTGTTATAAATCCATAATGCCTCAAATCCTTGATAAATACATGGATTTTTAAATTATAAAACCCTCATTTCAAATCCATGAAGCAAACGACCCTAAAGTGTCTTGAAAAGTGCATCCGTCTAAATTGGGGAAGCCATACTTTTAATTTCCCCGGGTAATTAGCATTTCATTAAGCACGCCCAATTAAATCAATCAGGCATAAAAAATACAAGGACATTGTCTACTGTTGATACATTCAACTACTCAAAGTAACCACCTAAATGATGGGAGGCTTTGCACCGCATTTCTGAAAGCTAGATTACCTAATACAAATAGACGAAATTCATCCTTAAAACTGCAGAAAAGCAAGTCCCAATCTCTATGCAATCCGCCAAAAATCCGGTTGCAGCGTTCTTACTAGAGGAGACCTGTAGCCCAGCACCAAAGCGCTCTGTAAACCTGACCAAACGCTCCCCCTTTCTTCACCTCCCTCTCCGCATTGCGCATCATATCATCCCACGAGGAAGGCCACACCTGTAAACTTCTGCCAAAAATAGCCATATAAAACCTTTATGCATAAACACATTGACAAATAGCACCTGCCACCAAAATAAATCGTGATTTTTTTTCACGCAATGAGTTCCAAATCAACTGAATAGAGAACTTTGTCATGATCCTTCCTTTCCCAAGTAACTTGCCCCTGATTATTAACTTCTAATCTGTTTTGTAGCCAGCTCCTAATCTTCAGAAGGCTTTGCCAAACCCAGGACCCTGCTACTGTATTGGAATCGTTCAAACAGAACGTCCCTTCAACCTATATCTGTTAACCCATGCCACCAAAAACTTCCACTCTGCATTAGAATGAGCCAAAGTAGTCTGGCAGCACTTGCAACATTCCATTCATTGAGATCTTTGGGACCAAGGCCCTCCTCCTTCTTACCCGTTGCAATTATGTTCACAGGCTATCTTTGCTTTGCCAGAGCCCTGCCCAAACCACAGAAAATCAGAGCATATCTTCTGGATCTGATCAATAACAGACTTAGGCAATATAAAGAGTTGCATCCAATATTGTATCAAAGAGTATAGAACTGAAGATATTAGTTGAAGTCTTCCCGCGTAGGAAAGCTTAGTTGCCCGCCAAAAGCGTATTCTAGTTGTCAACTTGTCAACAAGAACATTGCAATCCCTACTAGAAAGCTGACCTGCAATCAAAGGCAATCCAAGATAATGAACAGGCAGAGTTCCTTCTTTAAAATCAGTCACATTCACTGCATTTGCCTAGAATGCAGTGGCTTGACCCCCAAAAAATACTTCACATTTATTAGGGTTGCACTTTAATCCAGAGAGAATGAAAGTGTTCAAGCAGATTTCTTACCTTTAGTAACACTGCAACAGATCCTTCAGTGAATATAAGAAGATGATCAGCAAAGCATAGGTGCGTAAGCCCTATTGCTTTGCATTGTGGATGGTAAGGAATACTGTTAGACTGTGCAACTTTATCAAGTAAGCCAGAAAGAGGCTTCAGAGCAATTGTGAACAAATAGGGAGAAAAGGGGTCTCCTTGCCTCACACCCTTCTTAGCAGCAAAGAATCCAAATAACAATCCAAATAAATTGATACTAAAGTAAGCAGTTTGGAGACAGACTAGAATGCATTCCTTAAACAAACCAGGAAATCCCATTTCGTCGATTACCAACATAAGATAGTCCCAATCAATTGAATCAAAAGCCTTATGTAGATCTATCTTAACTGCACATCTCGAAGCAATGCATTTCTTATTATAGTTCTGATCGATTACATGTGCCATCAAGATATTATCTATTATGATGCGCCCTTTCACAAACGCTAATTTGTTCTGACTAATGATTTGTGGCAATACACTCTAATCCTATTTGCTAGAATCTTCGAGATTATCTTTTAAAGTATATTGTTGCAAGCATTAGGTCTGAACGAGAGAGAAAGAATCAGCATTTGGTACCTTTGGAGCAAGCGTGAGAGCAATGCAGTCAAAATCGTGCTTTAAAACTTTAAAACTTACGATTTTATTCTTTTATGTCACCAAAACGCTTTCGTTTCCATATAAAAACTTAAGTATATAAAACCGGACTAAATTGCGCTTAAAAGCTTACGCTTTTATGCTTCTAGTTCACCAAAACGCTTTACATTTTTACGCTTTTAGTTCACTAAATGAGTATTGTCTTCATGAAATTAATTATAAAAAGTATATTTTAAAAGTAAATCACCAACAATATGACACATTTGAAATTAAAAGATATATATTAGGTACTTGGATGCATTCTCAACTTCAATTGCGTAATCTAATTCACCAACTAGGATCTTCCCAAATTCATTAACATAGAGGGAAAAGTGGCTTATTGTTAAAATTTATGTTTACGAACTTATTATTAAGATGCTATAAGTTGCTCTACTTTATGTATGAATTGCATGTATTTATTAACTTATCTAAATTATGCGCATTCAATTTTACATAGTATATGTCCAACTTAATAGATTTTTAGTATTTTTCAGTATGCGTAAAAAAATTACACTTTTACGCTTTGATTCTACACTTTACGATGTTACCTCTTGTTTTGCTTTTAGATAGAATCACACTTTTGATTGCATTGCGTGAGAGAAGCAACATTTATTCCTCTAGGCATCATTTTTGTTCTGAAAAACTCCTTTACACCAGCACAAACATCAGGTCCAGTTCCCTCATGGCTTTTCTGAAAGAATCCAACAGACCAACCATCAGGACCCGGGACTTTTGCAGGATCCATACTAAATAATGCCTCCCTGATTTCCTGAATAGATATCTCACGACAAAGCAATGCCTTCCCCTCATCATCGATCCTCCCCCTTATGCATTCCTTAATCACCATCCTACAAGGATGAACGTCACCATTTGTAGCACCATAAAGCAATTGATAGAAAGAAACAACCTCTTTGGCAATCCTTTCCTCATCAATTACCAGCTCCCCTGGCTGCAAAATAATCTTTCTAATTTGTTTTCTAGTCGTTCGAAGCTTAACAGACTTGTGGAAGAAAGGTGT